TTTTGCTTTTCAAGATAGGGTTTTTCTGTGTAGCTTGGGAGTCTGTCCTGGAACTCACTTTATAGACCAGACCAGTCTAGCCTCGAACTCACAGAGATCCGCCTTGAATTTTCTTTAGGACATTAGATAATCAGAATCTATTATAAAAGTTGTCACAGTGACCCAGAGGACAAAGAGAAAATAGCACAGCATATGAGGGCAAAGATGGTCCTATTCTGCTGTTACTTTACCCAACTGTTCCAATCTACTGTCAGAGTTACTGTATTAGAGAACCTTGGTATGTGTGAACAAACGGTAAGAGTGTGGTGACCAGCTGGGCAGTGGTGGCACACGCCTTTAATCCCAGAACTTGGGAGGCAGAGCCAGGCGGATCTCTGTGAGTTTGAGGCCAGCCTGGTCTACAGAGTGAGATCCAGGACCGGCACCAAAACTACAAAGAGAAAGCCTGTCTCAAAAGAAAGAAAAAAAAAAAAAAGAGTGTGGTGACCAAGACACTAAGACAACTTGAACATATATGGAACACAGTGTCACAATAACTTCTTATGAGCTCTGGATAGCTGGTACTGTGAGGTTCATCCTTGTGGAAATATATGTGTGCTCTTTTAGGAGTCAGTGACCTTTGAGGATGTGGCTGTGCACTTCACCATGGAGGAGTGGATTATGCTGGATCTATCTCAAAAGGACCTCTACAAAGATGTGATGAAGGAAATATTGAGAAACATGGTGTCAATAGGTAAAGACATAATCATTCTCATAATAAGTCAATCAAACAAAAGTGCTTCTAGTTCATCATTGTTGCTGCATGTACTGAAATATGGCAAAGAAACATTTGGATATACTTACCTGACAGGGGAGACACCACAATCAGGAAGTGGTCTTCCCAAAGTGAGACTCATCCATTCCACTTGTTATGTGCTCACTCCTGTGCTTTGCCCAAATGCAGAAAACTTGACTGTATAATTTGTGGTAGCAGGAGACTGTGTTCACACTCTGTCCTGAAAAAAGGGGGGAAAGAAGAGGGTAAATATGTGAGATGGGGTCACTTTATACCATGAATTTAGTTGGGATCTACTAATGTTTTTACTATAATATCATGATCCATAATGATTTGCCTTGATCTGTATTTTAGGAAACATAAGGAAACACCAAAAGATTGAAAATGAATACCAAAATTCTGAGAGAAAACGAAGGTAATCCAGTTTCCTCAAAGCTTATGGTGTCATGGGACATTTTACAAAAAAGGTAAAAGATACAAATATATCAAGCTTCAATCTGAGTTGATCTCAGGAAATTGTCTCCAAAACTGCCAGTACGTTCCACATCATCAGTAAGAACATCTCAGATATTCAAGCATTGGAAACAACTGGAGTATCATGATGCCAGGTTGTGATACTTTATCCTACTTTATATTTTACTCCATATACATTATAGAAAATGAAATGTCAGTTTGTGTACAATCTTGGGTATCAGGTGCATATGAAACAAAAATAAGATTACTCTTTTAGACTGGAATTAATAATTGAGATACATATAGGCAGGTGTGGGGCCACACCTTTAATCCCAGCACTTGGGAGGCAGAGGCAGGTGGATCTCTGATCTAGAGACCAGCCTGGTCTACTTAGTGAGTTTCAGGCCAGCCAGCACTTCAAAGTGAAATCCTATCTTAATAAATAAATAAATAAATAAATAAATAAATAAATAAATAAATAAAAACAAACAAAAAGATAACTCAATATAGACATTTGTCTTAGTTAGGGTTTCTATTGCTGTGAAGAGATACCATAACATGGGCAACTCTTATAAAGGAAAACATTTAATTGGGTCTGGCTTACGGGGTCAGAGGTTTAGTCCATTATCATCATGGTGGAAAGCATGGTGGCATTCAGGCAGACAAGGTGCTGGAGAAGTAGCTGAGAATTCTACATCTGGATTCACAAGCAACAGAAAGAGAGAGTGTGACACACTGGGCCTGGATTGAGCATCTGAAACCTCAAAACCCAGCCCCAGTGACACACTTCCTCCAACATGGCCACACCTCCTCCAACAAGGCCACACCACACAATGGTACCATTCCCAGTGAGCCAGGGGGAGCCATGTTCATTTAAACTACCACAACATTCAAGTAGTTCAAAATGCAACATCATTTTCATTATCAGTATTGTGAATCAAATTGTGCACAATATTGAGTACTGAAATGTGTATTTAAATGTGAAATATACATTTAATGTTTGTCAAGCATGGAAACACTATAACTTCTCATTGGTTTATAATAAACTATTATAAACTATTATAATATTTAGTAATAAAATATAGTTTATTATAATAAACTATAATAAACTATTGCTTTTTTATTATAGCTACCCTCAAATCATGCTGCATAGCATTCGGTCAAAATATGTTCAAGATTCTTATGGTACATAGAACCAGTATTCCTACTGGTAAATCATTAATAATCAAACACTTTCATTTCTTACAGCTGTCAACTGGTAGAGAAACTACATGACTGTAAAGAAGGTCATAAGTGTGCAGAAATCTTCAACTTCTCTATGGAAGGCACTGTGAACCATAAATTTTATCCAGGAGTACACATATGTAAAAGAAATGAGTTTGTAAATGTAGTCATTGGCCATTTAGCTCTAAGTGTCTGGCTAAAACCTAGGCCAGGGCAACAATCAAATGAAGTTCAGGAAGGTGGAAAGGAGTTGGATAATAATAAGGAATCTGAGAAGACCTCCAGCTCTCCCCGCTCTTTTCAGAAGCATGAAAGTACTGACACTGCCGAGGAATCTGATAAAAATAAGCAGTCTAATGAAGACTTAAGCCCTGGTCAAAGTCATGAAAGGACTACGGCTGAAGAAAAACACCATGAATGCAAGCAGTGTGGGAAAACTTTTACTTCCCTCAGGTCCCTGAAGGGGCATGAACATCATTACCATGCAAAGAAATCCTTTGCATGTAAGCAGTGTGGGAAAGCCTTCCCTTTCCCCAGTTCCCTGCAAGTACATGAAAGGATCCACACTGGAGAGAAGCCCTATTTATGTAAGCAGTGTGGGAAAACCTTTGCGTATTCCAGTTCTCTTCTAAGACATGAAAAAATTCACACCGGCACAAGTTCCCATATGTGTCAACTATGTGGGAAAATCTTTACTCGTTTGAATTCTCTTTTAAGGCATAAAATAATCCACACTGGCGAGAAGCCCTATGCATGTAATCAGTGTGGGAAAAGCTTTTCTCGTTCTGCTTCCCTTCAAAGACACACAAGAATCCACACTGGAGAGAAACCCTATGTATGTAAGCAATGTGGGAAAGGATTCATTACTTCTACTTATCTTCAAGTACATGAACGAACTCACACTGGGGAAAAACCTTATGTATGTAAGGAGTGTGGGAGTGCCTTCATGCTTTGGACTCAATTTCAAAAACATAAAGTAACTCACAGTGGTGTGAATCCCTATGTTTGTAAGCAGTGTGAGAAAGCTTTCACTCGTCTGGGTTCACTACAAATACATGAAAGAATTCACACCGGTGAGAAGCCCTATGTGTGTAAGCAGTGTGCAAAAGCCTTCTTGTCTTTGAATCAGTTAAGAAGACATGAAGTAACCCACAATGGCATCAAACCCTATGAGTGCAAACAATGTGGGAAGGGATTTATATCTTCTACAACCTTTCGAAGTCATGAAAAGATACACAGTGGAGATAACCCGTATGTGTGTTCACAGTGTGAGAAAGTTTTGAGTTCTGACAGTGCTTTGTGGAAACATAAAATGATTCACACCGGAGAGAAACCTTGTGTATGTAAGCAGTGCGGTAAAACATTCACTCATTTAAGTTCTCTTCAGTATCATGCACTGATGCACAGTGGAGAGAAACCCCATGAATGTAAGAAATGTGGGAAAGGCTTTAGGTCTCTTAGCCACCTTAAAAAGCATGAAAGAACTCAACACTGAATAGAAACTTTATGCATGTAAACAATATGGGAAAGCCTTTACTTATTCTCATTGGCATAATGTTTACACATTTTAAATGGCTGGGTTGCTTTCGAATAAGCAACCTCACTCTGAAGATAAGTCTACCAATGTGTGAAAGCCTTCTATCATACTGATTTCTTTTTTTTTCCCTACTGATTTCTTAAAAAACAAAAACAAAACAAACTTGAAACAGCCACAATGGAGGGGAACTTTTTTTAAAAAAAAAATAACATGGAAATGATTTTTGTACTAAAAGTTTTCTTCAAGTCCATGAAGGAAGTCACACTAGAGAAAAGCCCTAGGAATGCAGGTGACGTTTAAATCTTTGCAGTCCCAGATCATGGCAAAGACAGGCCACAGATTATACTGCAGAAAACCCTGTGCATGTCTGCAGTGTAGAAACTCGTCACTTCTTCCCTGCTTCCTCCAAATAAGTCAACTAGAGGGGACTAGAGAGATGGCTAAGCAGTTAAGAATGCTGCCTGTTCTCCCAGAGGACCTAGGTTCAATTCCCAGCACCCACATGGAAGCCTACAATTGGTTCTAATTCCAGTTCCAAGGGATCTAATGTCTCAGTGGCCCCTGTATGCTCATGGTACACAGACAAATTACTCATGCAGGCAAATTACTCATAACAATTTTTTAAAAGGTCACACTGGAGAGAAACCCTTTGTATGTAGGCAATATTGGAAAGCCTTCCATTACTGCTGTTCCTTTCACAGACATGAAAGGTCCTACCATAGAATAACCTTAAATACAGATTTTTTAAAATTTAGACTTATTTATATTATTTCACATGTATGAGTGCTTTGCCTGCGTGTATGAATGTGTGGCACATGTGTGCAGTGCCTGCACCACCATGAAGAGGGCCTTGGAACCTCTGGAACTGGAGTTACAGATGGTTGTGAGCAGTCCTGTAGGTGCTGGGAACTGAACACAAGTCCTTCGTAAGCACAGTGAGTGCTCTTAACCACCGAGCCATCTCTCCAACCCAGGAGCTAATTCTAGACTTCTATTTCCAAAGTTTGCTTTACAAAACAAGCATAAGCTGAGTACGTGAGATGAGATAACAACTTATACCCATGGAATGGAGACCGGTCAGACCCACATTTGAAAAACAAAACAGCTGTAGAAAGTACACTATCATGAAATGGTTTTGTAAGGTTTCTTAAAGCAGCAATCTATAGTTTAATGGGTGATGTCCTTTTGCATTAAATTGGGTACACGTTTCTACTTGTATTATAAATTGTGTAAGTTCATGTGGTGGACTGACATTTACTTGTAACATGTCAATATGCATAAATGCCTTTTTTTTCAAAAATTGTGATTAATTAAAAACGACTTTTTGAGAATATTGGAATATTTGCACTGCTTTCATATGCCTAGTTCTGGCCACTTTGTCTGTACTTTTATTCTTTTTCATGAACAAAAAAACATTTTGAAATGTATGTATGTATGTAAGACCATGTGCTGTATGCATATATGTTTGTGTGTGTGCACATATGTGCACATGTGTCCGTGTTCCTACTGAAGCCAGAATAGTAATATCAATGGGTGACCTGCTTTATCACTCTCTGACTTATTCTCTTGAGAAAGTGTCTCTTACTTAACTATGAATTAATCTGGCAGCCCGCAAAATCCAGCAGTTTACCCCTCTCCACTCCCCATAGGGCTGGGTGTATGGGCATGATTGAGGCCATGGTTGACACCATTCCCAGCTTTACATGAGTGTTAAGGATTCAAACTCAGGTCCTCAGCTTGCAAAGTGCTTTTACCCACTGGGCCATTGACTAAACCCTTTAAACCATATTTCTATTGATTTTGTATTGTTTCTGTTTTGCATATGTTTATTTTTCTCTCTTTGCTGTTTATTTTCTAGCATTACTTTCTTGCATGTCTGTGATGGTTGGTTTTAATGCCAACTCGCCACCAATTAGAAACACCTGTGGGTGGACCCTCACTGGAAGAACTGTTCTGTTTTTTTGATTGATGTGGGAAGATCCACCCACTTGTAGGCTGCACTTGGGGTCCAGATAAAAAGCGTGGAAGGAAGAGCATCTTGCCTTCTGCTCACTTGTCTATTGCTCTTGCTACCTAGTTCATGTGCACTGCTGCAATTGATGTTTACTTCATCCATATCAAACCTAGTGTTTCCAAACTCATTGTGGCTAGGGAAACACAGTGCTTCAGGAAACTTCTAGGCACCTTGTGTCAGACTGGGACTGCTGAAGCCTGTCCATCCACACACTGACCCTCCACCCACTCACCCACCCTCTGACCCACCCACTCACTCACCCACCCACTCACCCACCCTCTGACCCACCCACTCACTCACCCACCCACTCACCCACCCACTGGCCCTCCACCTACTCACCCACCCTCTGACCCACTCACTCACCCACCCACTGGCCCTCCACCCACTCACCCACCCTCTGACCCACCCACTCACCCACTCACTGACCCTCCACCCACTCACCCACCCTCCGACCCACCCACTCACTGACCCTCCACCCACTCACCCACCCTCCGACCCACCCACTCACTGACCCTCCACTCACTCACCCACCCATCGCCCCTGAGCGCTGAGGCTTCAGCCTTAAGGACCTAGGAATGACCGAGTTTTCAGCTCTCCGGTCACTCTGCTTTTGTCACTACTTTAAAGCTGACTCAATTCCATTTCTCTAGAGATGTAGTGTCCTTTTAAGGTTGAACTATTTTAAAATTGTTCTGAAAACCTTTTTTTTTTTTAACTATTAAGCAAGATACATATATTTTAATTATATATCAGGTCTTGCTTACAAGTTTATTAAGTTTGTGTTGTATGGCACATGAAGGCCTCCTCCATCTCACCGAGATCCACCTGTCTGCTTCCTGAATGCTGGGATTAAAGGCCCAATAGGTTGTTTTTATCACTGGGACGTGGAGGTAGACTCCTGATTGCCAAAGCTTTGCTCATTACTGGAAGGAAGCACAATGTGGAGGACAAACTTAGGCTTGAGGATACTGGATAAGGTTGGAAGGGATGAGTATCCATATACTAGGCTTTTTCTTTTGGCCCACCAATCAGCTCCCAAATCATGACACAGAGACTTATTACTAGTTTTGAATGCTTGCCCTAGCTTAGGCACATTTCTTTCTTTCTTTCTTCCTTTCTTCCTTCCTTCCTTCCTTCCTTCCTTCCTTCCTTCCTTCCTTCCTTCCTTCTTCCTTCCTTCCTTTTTTTCTTTCTTTCTTTTAAAGGAATGTTTTAACTTTTTTTTTTTTAAGATTTATTTATTATGTATAGAGTGTTTTGCCTGTATGTATGCCTGCAGGCCAGAAGAGAGTGCCAGATCACATTACAGATGGTTGTGAGCCACCATGTGGTTGCTGGGAATTGAACTCAGGACCTTTAGAAGAGCAGCCAGTGCTCTTAACCTCTGAGCCATCTCTCCAGCCCAGGCACATTTCTTTTAACTGAAATTTAACCTTTATCTCTTCATCTACCTTATTAACTTTCTTACTTCTGTATATCTTACTTTCACTGCTCCGCTCTGTCTCTCTGTCTGTCTGTCTGTCTGTCTGTCTGTCTGTCTGGTGTCTTCCTGGCTTCTAGCCCCAGGCATCTCCCTTCTTCTCTCCTTCTTCCTCTCATTCTTGCTTCTTCTCTCAAACCTAGATTTCTCCTCCTCTTTATTCTCTCTGTCTTCCAGCTCCGCCTATCCTTCCTCCTGCCTAGCTATTGGCCATTCTGCTTTTTATTAAACAAATCAGGTGCCTTAGGCAGGCAAGGTGAAACAAATGCAACACAGTTTTACATTATTAAATAAATGTAGCATAAACTGTGTACTTTACACAGTTAAAGTAATATTCAAGGCTGGCCTTGAACTCACAGAGATCCACCTGGCTCTGCCTCCCGAGTGCTGGGATTAAAGGTGTGTGCCACCACTGCCCGGCCTAAAAGAAAGCATTTAATTACAGGCTTGCCTAGAATTTACAGGCATGGCAGGGAGCATGCAGCATGCAGGCAGACATGGTGAGAGTTTGGATATTCTCATCTGGAGGCAGAGGGAGAGACTCTGGGCTTGGCATGGGGTTTTGAAACCTCAAAACCCACCGTTTACTGACATGCTTCCTCAAACAAGGCCATGCCACTTCATTCTTCGAATCCTTTCAAATGGTGCCACTCCCTGGTGACTAAGCATTCAAATACGTTAGCCTATGGGGGCCGTTCTTTTCAAAGCATCACGTGTATTAAACATAGGAGACCAAAAGTGAACGTTTCACACACATTGTTTTTCTGTCACCCAATGTCTGCTCTGTTTTCACACCTAACACTTGTAGATGTAACCAATCGTCTTATTAAAATAAGAAACACAGAGCCAATGTAAAAGAGAAAGCCGAGAGGTCAGAGCTCAGAGATAAAATCTTACCTCCTGCAGTGCTCCTAACTTCCCCGCGAGAGAGCTACTTCCTGTTTGTCTGTGTTTAAATAGTCTTTCTGTTCTGCCTTCTCATTGGTTG